GATCGAACAAAAAATCGTGTACAAATTAAGAATTACCTGCATGTTTCCAATCAGAAGTGCAAAAAGAATAAGTCCGGATATAGCAAGACATATAGAGAATATAATTTCTCCTGGATAGGTACTAGTTTGTAGCCCTTGACCCAATGTACTGCAGAAATTGATGTTTTTGAACTGTTAGTGCAACAAATTTACGAGTTCAAAAGTAAGGCTAAATAGCTAACATATTTAGCGGAACCAAAAATGTTACGTGGTCGCGAATAACCTTAGATTTTGAAGACCCCACCAGAGGCAGTAGCAAAATTTATTGACAAATGTTTGAGATTCGACGATTTTAGAGGATTGTGCTTGTGTATAGATTCCAAAGTTGAAGTTTGAATCTTCTTCCTCAACTGAGCACATCTTATTAAGAACATCGACACTAATATTTTTCCACACCTCAAAAGTTGCCATATCATGATTCCCACAATACAAAAAATCGTTATCACATTTATCACCTTGACTTTGACATGCATTTTTCCAACATGTGTCTATACGTTCCACAGCAAATAAATACCATAGCGCCCCGGCTATCTGCAATGATGCGTAAAATACTTAGCATATAGCCTTCAACACTAAAACAAAAAAAACATGGCCATTGTTACCAAATTCACCAATACCCCCACAAACTACAAATTGGTACATGGTACATGGTTTAGTGGTACACTTTTAGACTAATTTAACAAAATCAGGTAGCGAATTGTCTTCCCATGTCTGTTCCACGTACCAAAACGTACCACAACAAGACTAGAACGCACTTACAATGATTGTAATAGCAAATGAACGCACTTACATGACTAGAGAGCAAGTACCAAAGCAAGTAATAAGCAGCCCCAAGCCAAGCACTTTCAGCAAATACACCAGCAGTCTTTTTCAAGTCAGAAGTCAGAGGATAAAACCTGGCAAATCTAAAAATGTATTGTGCAAATACAATTATTTGCAACCATTTTTTTGTCTCTAGTATACCTTTCCCTTGAGCTTTAACAAGGTATTTTAAGACCACAATCTGCACAACCAAGAACGACGAATCAATGGTGTAACATTGCCTCTATTTGACAGCATCAAGAAATATTACAAGTACATATTATACCTGTGGTAAGGGCAGAACAGCTAACAAATCTATGATGAAATAGCGCAGTAGGTAACGTTTAGCAATTTCTCCGGTATCAATCACAAGCTCACCACGTCCAAAGACCCGAGAGGATGGTGCAATGTATGCAGTACGGAATTGAAAAGCCATGTGAATAAGATAGAAAGCATCAATCATGGTACGCAAAGTCGTAGTTGTAACAGCTAACCCATAGTCCATGCCTAAGCAATTCTTTTGATGTTCAACTATAGGTAGATAAAAGAACAAAGGATCTATAGACACTGCAATGATGCAAGATATAACGAAGAATCGATTCCATAGAAGAAGAGATTTATCTTGAGGATCAAATACTTTCTTGTCAGACACTTTCAGATCTTCTGGAAACACTGCTCGAGTAACCCCTGATCTTAGTGATTTACCAAATGTCCTTAGTCCACGAGGTTTCATCATTCCTATATTAAAAGACCTTGTTGAATTTTGGGACTTATAAACACTACGTTTCAGTCCTTCTATGTTGAAGGCGAAACGATTTGTAGAGTCATTGTTCTTTGTTGAGAATGAGTCCATTTTATTCAGTCTGTCAAAACATAAGAAATCATTATACATGCCACAGTTTTAAGTAAAATCAAGACTAGTAAAATTATGTCTAAAAAAAGATGTTTATATATTTGATATAAAACTTGTTTCAGAATCATGGTAACAAAATCCAACACGAACAATTAGTATAAGAATGATCAATGATGCTAAAGCAGAGCAACCTATAGCTTAAGTTGATAATGAACATAAAATCCAACAAGATAATGAGTTCACATACCTTATGAATTTTTCTCTTTGACCATTCATAACCTGCGACTTGTAAGCCGACATATCTAAATTCGTGGAGAAGAAGATCAACTAAAGCAAATTGAGGATGTAAGCTCTTTATAAACTACAGGAAATTGTTGAATTTGCTACTGAATATTTGTGACTGTCAATACTTCAGTCGCGAAACTAATTTTTACGACTGCCTATATCAAATGTCACCAACTTGACAAAATAATCCTGCACTAGAATTGTACAAGTTATGCATAGCAAAATCGACTAAAAAACGTACAGGAGAACCTTATTACAACAATTTGAATGACTCGATGTCTAGACATTGTGTCGCTTTTGGTTGAACACATTCATTTTAACATAAAAAGGTGTCATAATGACACAATTGCAAGAGTAATATATGCTCTATCATATGAGCAATGTGGAGTATGCACAAATGAAGGAGTCGGGAGCTTCTTCGATTTATTCGATTTCTAGAGAAGCCGTGCCATTTTATTTAATAGTTTTGTTGTCAAAATTTTGTGTAACAATAAGAAATAAATTACGTTGAATTGAACATAACAAATGTACATGTGCAATATATAAACAAACACATTACAATATATAAACAAACACATTACACAATACAAAATTGTAAGTTTCTTTATCTAAAACGTGACTAAATTTTTTAGTAATAATCGTTAGCATAAATTATTTGATTATCTCAGGACATGAAAGATAAAATAAAATCGAGAGATAGAGAGGCGCAAAACCTTAATATGTAAAGGGCATGATTGAAAGATTACGGCACCAAAAATTCAACACCAGAATGAAGAGGACATAGAGATGTTAGAGAGAAATTTTCTGGAGATGCAGGGGGGGAGGAAGGCAAGGAAGAATCTGAGAGCATTTTTAGCAAATTAGTTAGGACCTTTTTTTATTACTTCTATTAAAAAATAAAAAAATAAAAAATCCTCACAATTTAAAAATTTATTAAAGACAATAGCAATACTCCATTCAAATAAAAATACTCCAAGTCTCCAAATATATATATGTTGTACTCCTTTTTTTTTTTGTTTTTTTGTTTTTTTTTTTTTTTTTGAGGAACTCCGTAGTTTATTACGGAATATTAGCTTAGAGTACTTTGTGTTGACCTAATGGCTGGTGGTCCTCTTCCTTTCACTCGGGTTTTAATTTTAATTCCAAGCAAGAGTAAAATCCCCAATTCCCCTGCTAGCAAGATTTCTCCTTAAAAAATAATAATAATAATAATAAAAATAAATAAACTTTTATGTTGCCATCACCGATTCACCCTAAAAGGTTATCAAAGGTTCTAAGCTAACGAAATACTTTAAAACGGGATATGAGTCAACTATATCATAAAAATTATGTGCGAGTAGCAATTTTTATTTTCTATTCGTTAGGTAGTTAATCCCTCTGTTTTTTATTACTTGTTCTATTTATACTTTTTGCACTATTCATTTGACTTACATGTTTGTGATATTTACATAAGAAAAATTATGAAGTAGTTTTTTTGGATACTAGCTGGAATCGTCTCAATAAATAGATTATTAATTTTCAATTGTTATAATTTATATCTATTGATAATTAAAGATATTACTAATCAAAGATTTACATCGGTATACAATGAAGCATGTAATAAATACGGAGGGAGTATCATATTTGTTCTTGCTCAGTTTCATGGAAGACGTTTTAACGAACTAATTGCCTAGTTGCCTTGAATGGGTGCAACTTCTTTAGTTCTTTATAATGGCAAATGATACACCCTCTTTCACACTAATTAAAGTTAGAATATTGGATTGGATATGTTATCAGCATTCAGTCGATCATCAAGTGGGGCTGCTTTTTTTTTTTTCTTTTTTTTTTTCTAAGCTTTCTTGATTTGCATTATTTTATAATTTTATTTCCTGTTGTTTATGATTGGAAATTGAATGTCTCGAATAACAAACAATTGGACAAAACAAAGAGGTCAAGCTTTAACTCCACCAAAAAAAAAAAGGGCAACTTTAATGGCCAATCAATATATCAACTAGGGCAAAAATTACTTAATTTTGTCCTTAGTCAAATTATACTTGTTGGCCGTGTTCTCTTTTCTAACATCTATCCTTATAATTATTAGTGTGATACGTATTACATAAATTATCATTTAGTTTTAAGAGCATGAGTTTTGTGATTTTAAACAATTATATAGTACGGAGTATATTTTACGAGTGATGGGATCTCGCTAAGCAAATAATTAAAATAATGGAACCCGTGTTCCTCATTATCATTAGATATATAGCACTATAGCAGCAGCGATGGTTTTGTGAATGTGTAGAGAAAACAAAGGAGAGCAAGTTAATTAACTAGATAAATATTTCGAGATAGCTATAGGTTTTATCTAGAACATATTATGTAGAATCCCATATTATAGGATTATTTTGCAATAGAATCATGTAGAACTCTATTATTGTGTAGAGTGTTCTAGAGGTGGGAACGTTCTAGCTCGGAAAGTTGCATCCTTACGGGTGAAGGTGGCCTATAAATAGGCAGCAAGGTTCATTTGCAAACCAATTGTGTATTTGTGTGAATGCGAGTAGTCTTTTTTCTATACTCTTGTGTTCTCACACTGAGTGAATAAGGGAAACTCGTCATTCAGGCTTGTCAAAAGTGTGCGCGCATAAAAAGTTACAGGATTTGTACATGTACACAATCTTACATATTACTTGTGGGCATGCTAACGGCACAAAGGAAATAATCTTCATTTTTGGAAAGGAAGAGATCACTAATATTGTAAAAAGTTGAGCAAAGGAACTAGGGAGGTATTTTTGGCAATGGCCTACTTATGATTCATCTTCTGTCATTACACACTTGATGATATAATCTTCATGCATTATTGTATTCCCTATTTTAATTCCACAATGACACAATCTAAGCTATCTTTTCTTTATTTTTTACACAATTTCTTTACCAACTAGAAAACCATCACAAAACTCATGCACTCACGCTTAATCATCCTTTATCTGACCACATCCCCACCCCCTCACTATCTCCCCTTGCTTATTTATCAAAGTCTATTCCACTAACTTTGCCATACCATACCATCCGCACCTTCAATCTATAATAACCATGTCTACAACACCACCGCCAATACCGAAACTAGAATCGGAAGATAATCATCCATCTTTACCTCCTGCAGCGGCGTCATGGACAACATACTTGGTCCAAGATGTTCCTGCTGAGCTAAGGAAGCAAAGGGGGATGGCGGTCCCACTGGTGATGATGAACTTAACGTGGTTCATCAAGCAGGCAATCACGGTAGCCTTCTTGGGGCGACTTGGTGAACTACAATTGGCTGGAGGTGCACTAGGATTCACGTTTGCAAATGTCACCGGATACTCTATACTGACGGGCTTGTGTGGAGCCATGGAACCGATATGTGGTCAAGCATATGGTGCACAGAACTACAGACTACTTCATAGGACCCTCTTCATGGCAACTCTTTTGCTGCTCGTTGCCACCCTTCCAATCTCTATCCTTTGGCTGAATATTAGCAAAATTCTTCCTCTTTTTGGGCAACAAGAGGATATGGTAGCTATGGCTCAACGCTATCTTCTTTATCTGCTCCCTGATTTGATGGTGAACGCCTTTCTTTGCCCTCTGAAAGCATACTTGAGTGCTCAGGGTATCAATGTTCCTATTATGTTAAGTTCTACTCTTGCTGTAATTTTCCATGTTCCCATCAACATACTTTTGATAAAAGCAAAGGGTGTTGAAGGGGTAGCCATAACAGTCTGGATAAGTGATCTTCTGGTAACTTTACTGCTCGCATTCTACGTGTTACACATGGAACTGAGGGGGAGAGAAAAGTGGCAGGAAGGGGGATGGTGGGATCAGGGTATCAAAGAATGGCGTGCCTTGCTCAGCTTATGCGGGCCGTGCTGCCTGACAACCTGCTTAGAGTGGTGGTGCTACGAGATCCTAGTCCTCCTCACAGGGAGACTTCCTAATGCTAAGGAAGCCATTGGGGTGCTTGTAATTGTGATCAACTTCGATTACTTGCTCTTTTCGGTGATGCTCTCCCTTTCTGTAAGTGCATCAACCCGGGTGTCCAATGAGCTCGGGGCAAACCAACCAAAAAATGCTTACAAATCAGCCTATGTGTCCCTCATAACAGCAGCTTTTTCTGGATGTGTGGGGGCCATGGTCATGGTGGCAGCCCGGGGTTGGTGGGGCTCACTATTCAGCCATAGCAAGGGGGTAATCAAAGGGGTAAAAAAAATGATGGTCTTGATGGCTATGATTGAAGTGGCAAACTTTCCATTGACAGTTTCCGGAGGGATTGTCCGAGGAACAGCAAGGCCATGGCTTGGTACATTTGCAAGCCTTGGTGGGTTCTACTTGCTGGCTTTACCTTTGGGGAGTGTCTTGGGTTTCAAAGCAAAGCTCGGGCTTGGGGGTCTTTTCTTGGGGTTCTTGGTAGGTGCATCAACCTGCTTGATTTTGCTACTGGTGTTTATATCAAGAATTGATTGGGCCAAAGAGGCAGGCAAGGCTCAAATACGTGCCGCAGCCGGCGAAGAGTTTTTGTCAGATGAGGGCTCTGTCTAGGAAAAAAGAGAGAATTTTGAAGTTACAGCGTGATACAATTGATCAGCATTCTAAAACAGAATTCAGACAACACAAAAAATGTAATTTATCTGACTGAAGGAAATCAATGGATTTAGCAATGATTTAATCTTCTATGTCCATGAATCACTGCCATATGTAGGATACAAATGTAAATGTAAGAGACAATTGTATGAAATTTCTATATACTAAACCCAAAAAGGTACAAACAATTGTAATTCGGATTTTATAATTCATAAATTTTGGAATAATTGACAATCATGATTTTCCCATCTGAAAATTTTTCCATTGAGGGGATGGTAGTACACAAAAAGCATGTGGAGTGAAGGGACTTTCCGCAACTGAAGAATGAACGAAAAGCTATGAATTGAGCACGTTACATGAACTCAGTCACCATTCACATGCTCTCTAAGATCAAAGAATTACAATGTTAGCAACATCGAAAGTTAAATATGAATTACTTATCTTCATCAAAACCAGGTTTAGAGCCTATTGATTTAAGCTTGTTGGCCTTCTCGTCATCGAAGCCTAGGGCAGCCAATATCTTATGGCCAGGAGATTCCTCCTCAGACCATATGCCAAGAAGTAAATCAATTGTCGTAATTACCCCATTTTCATCTGCGTAGAGGACAATGCCTAACGAGTCAGCTGAAGTTCCATTTCTTTTTTCTTTGTTTAGAATCAGCAGTCTAAATTTTTTTGATAGAAAAAGTTCATAACAGAAACATAAGGTTATCCATAAACAAAGGTGAAATCAACATCCAATAGATAGTGGTAGTGTGTCGTCAGTACTCACTACTTTTTACAGGTGCAATCCACAACAAAAGGATATTATAATCGACCCCTTTAAAGATTTGGTTGGAAAATCAGATAACGACATAGTTGAACTTCAGAAGTAATACCAAACAAAATTTACAACATTGCAGTAATTATCATATCTATTGGCAAATATTTTACGGAAGAACAATTTTTGGGCAAGTTCCCTTGAGATTAGTCTCACTAATACAGCTGTTTCTAATAGATACTTCCTTTGTTCTTTATTACTTGACCTATTTCATTTATCACGCTTGTCAATACACAAATCTACCCCATCAATATCTTAAATTCTTGTTAAGTAAAAATTATAACAAATACATATTATGATAGGATGTATTGAGATAACTCAAACAAGATCAATATGATTATGTTTTAACTTATGCATAGATCACAAAAAACACTCATAGATGAGTGTGTGAATAGTGTATAAGTCAAACTAGGTCAAGAAAAAAAGAACTGAGGAAGTAAGTGACAGTTCATTACAAAACACAGATCCCCCACCAGCCAGTCGCCGTCACCAGTAATTGACAGCTACATCACTAGCCTTTCCCCATGACCCCATTTTTCCCCCTCTCCATTAAGCTTCAATCAAACCAAGCAACGAAAGAAGCTATCTTTTTATATAACTTTATTGGTCATCAAGTAGCAAACTTTAAGCTTAAAGAGATTATTTATTATTGACAACACTAAGACCCAGTATGCCATCATTTCAGCAAATCAGTAACATTTAAGATAATTGTAACACCAGTACAATCAAGCATGCTGAAGAGCTGCAAGATAATTGGACAAAATGCATACCCGATTTCACCTTCTGGTTCAATGCCCAATCAAGTGCTCTTTGAGCGGATTCAGTCAAAGGGGGATGCTCCGGGCTGAAGAAGTACAAATCACCTTTTCCAAGTAATTTTATACTTTCCTCTTTGACCTTAGTGAGTGTGATTCCATTTTCCCTTAAAAACCTTGAAGCAGGACTAGTTCCTGCAGAGAAACAAAGGTGAAGCTCCAGTTGTAAGAGCCAACGAAAGATGAGTACTTTAAATATTTAATGAACCTAAAAAATTTTAGACAAATTGATGATTACAGCTTATGGCTATATCTCAAGCTAAAAAGATTGTTTTGCATTTTTTCTATCTTATTTTAAATTTGTTTATCCAATATTCTATGGAAAAAATTAAAAAAGAGGGAGATAATATACCAGAAAAAAGCTCCTCACAAGAGTAATAATGACAACAAAGATACACTTACTAAGAAATCGCAATGTAAAGGGCAAGAACATTTTGAAGGAAAAATAAATCAACTGATTTTCTGAGTAGCATTCTGCAACAACTTAATCCTTAGGAAAAACTCCTGAATAATCCTCATAGAACATCTTCGAACTCAAGAACAAACACTGTTTACTGATATGAACAATTTCCAGTTCAAATGCGATAGACAGCAGTAATCAACCCAGGATCTCACCATTGCGGCATGAAATTTGTGATAGTTTGGTCCTTCAGCAATTACAGAAAACGAACTCTTAGATCAAGGCGGAAGAAACCAATTATCTGCAACCAGCTCAACATTGTTGCCATCATCTGTGGCTGCACTCTGGTTTACAAAAGCTAATCCTATTAAATAGCTTATGTGTCGAATTCAACATACACAGTTGATATTAGGAATCAATCAATCAAAGCCTTAATCCCATAAGTGGAGTCGGCTACATGAACCAAAATTGATCATTTCAAGTAGTCATCCACAAAGATCTTCCTCATCCATCCCTTACGATCCAATGCTTCATCCTCATGCAAATCCATATACTTCATATCCTTCCTAACTCCTTCCAACCAAGTCATTTTCAGTCTACCTCTCCCTCGTTTAACCCCTCCATGGTCCCACTCTTCGGACCGGTGCACCCTCGGGTCTCCGTCTTACATACCCAAACCAACGCAGGCGATTTTCCCTTAGTTTGTCTGCAATGCCTGCCACACCTACTTTTTTGCGAATAACCTCATTTCTGATTGTATCTCTTAGAGTGTTCCCACACATCCACCTTAACATGCGCATTTCTATAATCTCCATCTTTTTAATGTGCTTCTTCTTAGAAGCCCAACATTCTGTACCATAAAGCAACACTGGTTTTATGGCAGTCCTGTAAAATTTTCCATTCAACTGTAAGGGAATGTTTCGGTCACATAACACTCCCGTAGCTGCTCTCTATTTAAGCCACCCCAACTTGATCTTGTGGGCCACGTCTTGATCAATGTCACCATTTTTCTGGATGATCAACCCAAAATACTTAAAACATTCACTCATGGTCAATTCCTTTCCATCCAAACTCACCACTTCATCACTTCTCCCCCTCTCAGTACCAAAGCGAGATACCAAATATTCAGTCTTACCCCGACTTAGCTTAAACCCTCTAGATTCCAACCTTTGCCTCCATTGCTCTAACTTGGCATTAACCCCATCTTTAGTTTCATCCACCAAAACGATATCATCCGCAAACAACATACACCATGGAACCTCATCTTGAATTGGTCTAGTTACTTCATCTAAAACCGTTGCAAAAAGAAAAGGGCTTAATACAGACCCTTGATGCAATCCAATTGTAATGGGGAAATCTTTTGTCAACCCTCTACATGTCCCACATTTGTTGACACATCTCGATATATATCCTTAACCAGGTCCACGCACCTTCGTGGGATACCTTTCTTCAACATTGCCCACCAAAGTACCTCTCTTGGCACCTTGTCATATGCCTTCTCCAAATCAATAAAGACTATATGAAGATCCTTCTTCTTAACCCGATAAAACTCCATCATTTGTCTTATCAAATGGATTGCTTCCATAGTAGATCTTTCAAGCATAAAACCAAATTGGTTATCCGAAATATTTGTGCATGCTCTCAACCAATGTTCAATCACTCTTTCCTACAACTTCACAGTTGATATTAGGAATTAGGAAGACCGAAAGAATTGTCATCACATCCATACGGATATTCAACTTCATGATTATAAACACCTAACTCAGCTAACAGCTTCGAAGACAGCCACTGCATTACGACCTTTTGGGTTGATACTTGTCTACTTTTCCTTATAATTATAGTTTCTACTTTATTACCATTACTTTGCTTTTGTTAAAGGTAAACGAAGCCATATAGGATAACCAAATCAACCAGAGAGAAAAAGGCGCAATAAGGAAACACGGAAAATGATATCCTGCAGAGTATAATAACTACAACATAAAATCTCTAGAAAATGACCTTCCCCCCCCCCCTCCCCTCCCCCCCTTTAGATCTAATGCTCAATACCCCAAGAACCTCAACTTCTCATCAAGCATTAGTATTGAGTACAATAATCTCCAATTTAACAAAAGACGCTTGAAGCAATCCTTGAATAAATATACAGTACAACGATCCAAAATTTGAATAGTGACATTCATAGCATGTTTAAGCTTATATTCTCATACATCATCTTTGTTACTTCATCTGAAGCCCTTTCCTCTCTAATTAGACTATTGTATTAGGAAACGGACCCAAAGTTGGAATTTACTTTGCTTATATTGATATACATAATATCAATAGGAAACTTTCAACGTCCCCACCGCCAATATAATCTAACCTCCAAAGTTCAAAGTTCAAACTACCTTCACCATGTATATCTCCGGTAGCTCTAACTTTAATGCATAAAAGGGCCAGTTGGCACACAAGTGTCCATAAAAGAAAAGACATTCGATAACATCTTTTTCCTAGGCTGGTGTTCAGTTCATTGTTTTCCAATATCCTTTTCCCTCTATACATTTTCAGTTGTCTCCAATGTCCTCCAGCCTGATTCCCATAACCCAGCCCCTAAATGTTAGATTCACCCAAACACCTCCTACCCTTTCTTCACTAAAGGCATCATCATTGTACACCCATGACCCACTGGCATCGCAGCTTTGCAAGCCGATTTCATCATCACAGCCACATGCCCGCATCCATTACCCACCATACAAATTCAACCTCCATTCGGTTGAATGAATCTGTCGATAGAGATCAAACAATCAATTTCAACTGAGGTAGTGTTGTACAGCAAGAGGTGCAAACAATGGCACCATCATCCCAGAGATTATAAGAGTTATGTCATATAACCACCATGGATGGGGCCATGCACTTCGCCATAATAGAAGTTTTGACAGTTATGGTTACGGTGGATGTGCAAAGGAAAACTAGAGAGGTGAAAAGAGCAGCATAGTTTGGTTAATATGAGGGTTTCAATTCCCTTCTCAAACCAAACACTAACTATGGAATATAATTCTTCCCCTACCCAGATCCTAACTAAACTATTAGGGAATCTAGAGATTATTTTCCCAATCCTCCACATAAACACACACCCCAACACACACATTTCCCATTCTCAATCATTTCCCTTTCTCCCACCTGAATAAAAAAATCCCTTAATTTTGAGCTACATTGAGTGATAAGGTATTTGGGAGTGTTATTTGAGAATGGAGACTTAAGTTAGAGATCCATGCACAAGATCCTTTCAACCCCCTCCATTCATTTAAAACTATCAATTTCAACTGAGGAAATCTCGAACAGCAAGAGGCAAACAATGGCATCACCCCAGAGATTATAAGAGTAATGTCATACAACCACCATGGATGGGGCCGTGCACTTCGCCATGATGGAAGTTTTGACAGTTATGTTTATGGTGGATATGTAAAGGAAAACTAGAGAGGCAAAAGCAGTGGCATACTAGAAATTATTTTCCCAATACTCCACACACACACAGACACAAGACACAAATCTCCCTTTCTCCCACTTGAATCATAAAAATCCCCTCACTTTTTGAGCTACGTTGAGTGGCGAGGTTTTTCGGAGTGTTATTTGAGAGTGGAGACTTAACTTTGAGATCCATTCACAAGATCCTTTCTCCATCCCCCCTCCCCTAAAAAAAGCTGGTGAGTCCCATGAGATCAAAGACTGTGGCATTCCTAAACATTCCTTGATTGACAAAAACCACATATGTGTAAATCCATCACTTTGAGATTTCTCCTTCAATAAAAAAGGTGAATAATACTTTTTCCATGAAGCATAATTGGCTACTTAAGATGGAATTGTCTCTACTCAGTCTCTTTACTTATCTTCTTAAGGTTACACATCAACTCAATACCTAGATTTCTCCTATATTTTTCATTTTTCTACTATTCTTAGATGATCGGATCAATTCAATGACAGTAACCTAAGAATAACATTAGAAAAACTATATGGATAACAAGTTAGATACCTAACTAAGCCTAACAAAATCAGCTCAAGCTAGTTAGCCCTAAATTTCAACTTGGTCAAGTTAAAGAGCCTATGTTAATTTGGTAGAAATATCTTCATTTTCTGACACATTAATATAAATAACCCTGAATAAACACCCATGCATTTAGGCTCTAAAAGTTTAATGCTTATTCTAGTTCCCATAATATTTGAAATTTAAAAAATTACTAAAATTTTGAACAACGAAGAAAAGGTGTTCCAATGTCGGGCCAAAACAAGTTGAGTCACAGCTAAGATTATCTCATTTACACCCTTAAGCCTAGCAACAACCAAATTGACTCTAATTTCTATAAAACACATTTCTTCATTATATATTAGTTACAACACTTTTTTTGCCTCTAGCGTACTACTTTGGCTATTAGTCTATTATTATCTCAAACTACATTATAAGTACAATTAAGAAAAGCTAACATGTTAACAATACACATTAAAACAAATCTAACAAGATTCCACTTGACTAAAATTATTTCTAACATACCAGTGAGCAATGACTATGTTTTGGGTCTAAATTTTCAAGAATCAAAGTGTTGCAACTACAATGTAATATCGAACGGAGAATTACAAAATATGAGTTAAAGTGGGGCTACAAAAGCAAGAAAAAAATGAGTTTTGTATTATTTTATTGAATTGTAAAATGGCAAACCGCTAATTGTTTAACCTTACAAATAACATTAATAATCTTAATACACTAATGCCTCATCTTAAAGGGATTTCCAAGCTACTATAAGAGTTGATGGCTAACTGGCCTTCTCAATCTTCATCTTTCACATAGCTTCTTTAGCTTTCTCCTATTCCTGCTTGAATTTGATGCAATTAGACCACATATACAAGTATCATTATCGTTTAAATATTGTTGAGAGGGTGTTTGGTTCACTAAGTGGTATGGGTTTGGAATCAAGAATGAAATTATGCTTGCATGGGGTTGAAACTTATACTTAATACCGTGGGTTTGATTTTGTCAGGGAATGAACATTTTTCTTTTATTTGACACCCAAAGGTATGGTATAAGTCACACCCAAATCACCCACCTCCCCCCTTGGGTACTTAAACCTCACACCTCGGACCTAAATTACTTACTTTTGAACCAAACACCCCCTAAAAGCACATATATAAAAATTCCACCGCATGGCCCACATCTACATATCGTCAACTTCAACCGCAAGAAATCACATTTGGTTCTTTAGCGTCCTTGAGACCTTAATGCAGGACGACGATTAATTTTGACTCTAATGTTCTAACCTCTTTTTCCCTTGTATTTCATTTTCCTAAAACTGCCTATGACAGCTTTAGACAATTTCAAATTATATTTTTTCCTCTTATTATTGCCATGATCCCTTTCTCTAGGAATTAGAAATCTAAGGCACTTGATAAGTTGAAATTGATGAACAAAAAGACAATCACCACAAAGGAACCATTTCCATTAGTATGAGTATGACCCTACACATCCATCAACTTCTCCATAAACTACAAGCTAGTAAGCAAGCCACCAAGCCCTAATAAAAGCAAGCTTAACAAAGGAGTGATATTCTAATAATCTAATTAAACCAGTAAGCAAAGATAATAGCGATTAGTGACACTATTCAAAAATTACTAAAAAAAAGATACAGTAATAAGCAAAGATGAGGACATGGAGCAAGCCAATGCACACTCACAAGCATTATTTATGCAATCGGATAAACAAACAAATTTGAACAACAAACTTTAGTGTAGCATATCACTAACATATGTTATTAGTTATCCTAGCTTCAAAAGGCTGATGAGGCAAAAGGTATGACAGCTTAACGTTCCATACGGTACCCAAGAAAGGTCTTTGTTCTTAGCTGCTACCTAAAACTACTAACACTCATAAACAATCAAAAAGCCTTAACCACACAGAATAACTAACCTTGGTTGCTCACATAACTTATATCTAACAGTAAAGACCAACCAATACAGATTCTCTCACTAGCATTTGGCAAGTTTGGTCTAGATGAACAAATTTTCACCCCTTAGATAACAAGTAGCTAGGATCTTTTCGAAAGATCAATCCAACAACAATATTCAATCCAGATAGTCAGTATATTTTTCTCCATACATATAACACTAAGGAAATCAATAGTCCTCATTACATTGGTTCCCTTTAAATTAGGATAAGGAAGCATGAACTTAATGCATATACAATAATTGTCATATCTTACAGCAGTAGCATAATTTGTTCAATTTAAGCAACATACTGACATACACAATAAGTAACAGAACTCGAAAATCGAAACAAGAACTTACATTTCATAACCATATACAAGTATATGTTTTATCATCCCCAATTCATCAAATCATCAAAGGACTAACCTTCTATAAGTACACCCATAAGAAGGGCTTCAGTCCCAGTTGTAGGGTATTTGAGCTTCCTAGCTTCCAATTCACCCATTGCAAATGACTTTATAGCCCTCCCTGACCACCTATTTCAACTCATCATCAAAAACCCAATCAACACAAAAACCCATGAAAATTAACTATAAAATTAACCAAAAAAATATACAAATTTGAACTCACTTGGGACTTTTATCACCAACAACCCCATTTGGACTCCTGCCCAAACAAAAAAAAAAAATTGAAACTTTAAACCCTCAAACCAAAATTAAAAGGGTATTTTCAAAAATTAAAGAAATGAGAATGCAAAATCTTACACAGTTGGGAGGCTGACGGTGACAGCAGCAGAAACAGGGCGTCGTTTGGTTGAAATTGAGAGTGAATGAGATGTTCTTGTTGAAGAAGGATTGATGAGAGAGAAAGTAAGATTACCCAGAAATGGATTATGTGAAGAGAGAGAAATGCAATTAGATGAGTTTATTGGTTTTCTGAACTCTGGGAATTGCTGTAATTGTATTGTTCTAGAGAGAGTGTGGAAAGTGGCAGCCATTGTTGAAGGTTGGAGAAGACGTTAGAGTTTGAAGAGTGTGGGAGTATTTGTGGATTGGTCTCAGACAGTCTTGCTCATTGAAGGTGTAAACGGCACCGTTTTCGTTTTAGTTTTAGTTTTGGGTGAGTAGATCTGGGCTTTTGGGTGGTTGAAAATGTGTTAGATTGACAATATAACTTAATAAGCCATTAGAGATTGTAAAGTTTAGCTAATAAATGATGGATCATGGGATGACCTGTTTAAAACCCAATCCATCATATGTTCACTTCTAGAGGTGTGTGTAGGCACAGAAAATTTGTAAATGTGTCATATTTAGACCTGTTAATTCTTGACCCAATTCGGTAGCCTGATTTAAGTTCAAACTCAAGTTACTGAGAGAGAACTCAAACCCGACCTGACCCAAACAACCTGAAATCGATCCAATTTGACCCATTTATCATCTTTTGTAATAACCCAAATGATACAAACCAATCGAACCAAACGACGCTAAATTTGACCTAAACCTGACCCATTATCCCAAATTGGCAGGTCTAGTCATATTAGATTTTATATTATACGGTAAGATACGGGATGGGCCCCCACCCTATCACAGGAATGGGGGGTTGGATGAGGAATCAAACCCCCACCACTTGGGGGTGATGGAGGGACTAACCATCCCTCTATCTCCTCACTCTTCAATCTCATCATATTAGATGTTGTATGGGTCGAAAGTCGAATTATTGACTCAATAATTATTTAACTACAATATCAACTAATTTTAATTAATTTAGGTAAACGGTTTAAATTAGCCTATTTTAATTCTTATAATAATTAGGAAAAATTGCCAAAAATAATACAACCTTTGGGCCGCTATTTTTTAATAATTCAATCTTTGGATTATACATGAATATTACAAAATTTGGGAGGTCTCAATTTTAAACAAGACAAAAACTTGTAACCGGCTAAACAAGTTGTCCATGACACATGTCGTTATATAATTGGTCTAAACTAATAATTTATTTTTAAAAAAAAAATTAATATTTTTTATTAAAAAAAAATAAAAAAAAAATAAAAAAAAGAAGAAGAAGAAGAAGAAGAAGAAGAAGAAGAAAAAACCCCCAAACCCCAACCCCCGATCAACACCCCACACCTAACCCCTCTCTCAGCGAACCCCGAACACCACACCTAACCCCTTCCCTGTCGAACACCACACACCCAACCCCTTCCCCCGGCGAACGCCACAACGGCGTCATGAAGTCACGAACGCAAGGAAAGGTTCGGGTCTGGGGTTTGGGATGGGTACGGCAGCGATTTTTAAGGCTGGAAAAGGGGAGGGGGACAATAATCGGGGGCTAGGGAATTGAAGAGGTGGTTTTTCGAGGGGTTGGGGGAAGAGGAGTGGTGGCTATCGTGGTTGTTGTGGAAGGGGCCGGGAATGGGGCGGAGATGAAGGGGAGGGGACGATTTGCAAGGTGGGGGAGGTATGGGGTGGGTTTGCGTGGTGGGGCTGGGTTTTAGGTGGTGGGGTTGGGGTAAGGTGGCTGTCGGAGGTGGCTATGGTGGAGTGGAGGTGGAGCAATGGTGGTGTTAGATGGGAGGAGAAAGAAAGGAAAAAAAACATTTAAACCAATCATAGAGCGTCACGTGTTAAGGGTAACCTGTTTATCAGGTTATATTCGATTTTGTCTTATTTAAAATTGAGACCCCTCATAGGTTGTAATATTCATGTATAATCCAAAAGTTATATTATTTAAAAATAATGGGCCAAAGGTTGTAATATTTTTGACAATTTTTCCTAATAATTAAACTAGATTATTTTAAATGGTGCATACCTAAAAAAATATATAAATAGTATTAAATTTATATATGAGATATGCGTTTAGAATGGTTTAAACCCATACCTTATGTTTGTTTTATTATATTAAGATTTTCAAACTCATATCTCAAACCTCCAAGGTATGGGGTTTGACTCATACTCACACTTTTAGGTATTTAATAGAAGAAAAAAAAAACTTCATTCCATAATTATACAAAAAAATATGGTATTACAGTACGTCACTACAAGAAAACAGCTGAATTCCGACAGACTTTTACCGTCGGAAAATGGCATACCGACGGAATTCCGTCGGAAACGGTCTCTCGCAACAGCCCTTGTCGGAAATTCGACGTTTTCCGAGGGAAATTCCGTCGGAAGCCGCTTCTCCAATGGAATTTTCGACGGAATTCGTTCTGTCGAAGCTGGTTTTGACTTTAACCAAAATTCCGTCGCAAAGTTCCGACGAAATTTTCCGTCGTTGCTGAAGTGGATTCCGACGGAATATTCCGTCGGAAGGGCATATTCCGACGGAAATTTCCGTCGGAAAATTGAATAAAAAAAATAAAAATAAAAAAGCCACCCCCTACCACCACCAGCCAACCCACCACCCCCTGCCCTGCCCCCTGCCACCAACCCCCTGCCCTGCCCCCTGCCCCTACCCCCTACCACCCCAGCCCACCTACCCCCTGCCATGCCCCCAGCCCACCACCCCCTGCCCCCTGCCACCTAATCTGTGGCTTATACACACGGGTGTACAGTGCTCATCATACACCCGGATAAATAAAAAAAAGGCGGAAAGAACATCTTGTGTTTCATAAAGAACATACATGTATTTGACAAAGAACATGGTTGTATTTGACAAAAACATGCATTACCAAAGAACATAAAGATATAATAAAAAGAACGAGATAAAAGCTTGATAAAATTTTCTGAAAAATTACACATTATTAACGGGAAAAATTTAGAAGTGATAAATAATCGAGTAGGGCTGGGCCATATCATAATTTCTCGTGCTCAAACCCGTAGAAAAGTAGCGGGTTTTCGGGCTTTTTTCGAACCCCGATCGAGTTTTAACTAAAAATGCATTTTTAGGTTTGCCCAAACCCACCCTATTTCGGGCCGGATCGGGTCGGGATGTGAGTCATGCCAATGTTGATCACCTCTTAAAAAATCCTTACCAAAGATATCATTTCCCCAAAAAATAGTTTTCTATCTCTCCAAAAAAAATTCAACTTCCCATAATAATTTAGTTTTTTTACTCTAACATTATTTTCAATTAAAAATAATTTAAGATTTCAATATCAAATTTCAAAATACCAAATGTTAAAAAGAACATAATTTATATTGTAAAGTACATATAGTTAATACCTAAATAACACACTAATCAAACTCAAAGAATGTGCGATAATAAAAGTAATTTAAATATGACATGATAATAAAAAATAGAATTTGGGCGTCACTACGACCTTAAAGAACATACACGCCAAATTCAAAGAACATACTTTGTATTATTAAACCCAAAAAAAAATATGTTTATCAACATATGTTAAATAACATAAGTTATAATGTAAAGAACATATAATTTTACTCAAAGAACACACTGATCACACTCAAATAACATATTAAAGGTATGTTCTTTGTCAAACATAGGTATGTTCTTTATCAAACACTATATGTTCTTTCCGCCTTTTTTTGTTTACCCGGGTGCACCATGAGCATGGTGCACCCGGGTGTATTATCTAATTTTCACCTGCCACCTACCACCTACCCCCTGCCCTGCCTCCTGCCATCCTCGTCACCAGCCATCGCCCATTGTCCAGCCACCACCATCCCCCACCCTCACCCCCCACCAGCAACGAAACCCCCGCCCACAGTCGTTGAAACCCTCGCCGTCCAACCCACGTGTCAGACCCAAGCCCAAACACCGCCCAACCACGACCACCCTTTTATGTCATTGCCACATTCAATCAAGCACATTTCCATGGCAGATGTTTTACCTTGTTGAGGAACATCTTAACCCACCTCCCCACACCGAAACCCACCTCACCACCACCGAAACAACCACCAAAAACACAAAAAAAAAAACATAAAAAACATCCATGCTTCACCAACACCATATATTGCAAAAAAACCAGAAAATTCAACAAATTAATTAAAATCAAAATTTAGAAGAAAAAAACGAGAAACATACCTTAATTTGAACAAAAAAAAGGTCGAAATTGGGTTTATAAGGTCTAATTCGACCATGAAAACTCTAGATCTAGAGTTTTCATGGTCGAATTTGACATGAAAACTCTAGATCTAGAGTTTTCATGGTCGAATTTGACATGAAAATCTTGATTTTCATGAGTTGCCATTGAATTTCTTGAAATTATCTTCGATTGCCAAAGAAAACGAAAAAAAAAAAAGAGGGGAAGAGGAAAGAGAAACAGGGAAGAGGAGAGGAAGGAGAAAGAAGGGAAGAGGATGTGCTGGAAATTCAAAGGAGAAGTGAGGAAAGGAAGGAGGAAAGGGAGGAGAAAGAGGGGAAGAGGAAAGAAGAGAGGAGAGAGAAAGAGAAGGGAGGCGGGGAGAGGGAAAGAGTGTATGGGTTAGGGTTTCCTTAGGTTTTAAAGAGAGTTTTTTTTTTTATTATTTAATTATTTCCGACGGAATATTCCGTCGGAAACTTAAATTTCCGACGGATTTTAATTCTGTCGGAAAATTAATGTTTCGACGGAATAGTCGGAAACTTCCGACGGATTTTGTTTCCGTCAGAATATACATTTTCCGACGGAATATAAATCCGCCGGAATTTATAGCATTTCCGACGGAATTTTGTATCCGTCGGAATCTGGCCTTTTTCTTGTAGTGCGTCTTGTGTGCGACTGGCCACACCATGTTGTCGCTTATAGAAGAACAAAGTAGCCCCTGCAACACTGATCGAGTAACACATGTAATACTGACCGAGTAACCCCTACAACACTGATCGAGTAACACATGTAATACTGACCGAGTAACCCCTACAGCACTGACTAAGTAACCCCTGTAACACGGATCAAGTAATTCCTATAACACTAACAAAGTAACCCCATGATGATTGGTCACACCGTGTGGCCAGCCACATATAAGAATTTGTAATGGTATTAAGAATCAAATTCCAAACTCTCTTTTAAATAAAAAAAGAAAAAAGAAAAAGAAAAAAAAAATAATTAAGTTCCAAACTCATACTACTTATGGTTTCATTTCTAATTCCAACCCCATATCAGTTTGCGAACCAAACACCTTTAATAAACTCAATGAATACCAAAACCCTAAATGCATCCCTAGCCACCTCTGTAAATCGAGCATCTCTATTTCAT